ACATTGAAATGTCTGAGCAGTCACTGGGGGTCTAGAAAAAAACTACAGATCTGGGCAGCCCACTAATATCCCGCTGTCGACCCATCCCACGCCCATTCCAACCCCAAAGAGTCGCACCCCCCTATATATACCTTATGCCATTTTTGGGATTTCCACCAGTATACATTGAAATGTCTGAGCAGTCACTGGGGGTCTAGAAAAAAAACTACATGGAATTTTAATCTGATTTTTTGCGTGCTTCATAAGGGTGATATAAACTACTTCCAGTAAAAATTTCAGAATTTTCTGAGCACTCTAACTATTTCTTTTGTAATTTAGCAAACTCGGATGATCCCGGTCCAGCCCGAGGTCCTCGGGAGCTTTTGAGTGTCCAGTGTCATTCTAAACTCTTTATTGGTCTATTTTAAGAGTTTTGATCGTGGAAAACCGGAAAACGGACGGAGAAAAATCGAATCAGTACGGACAAGTGTTCTGGCCGACGAAAATGCGCGCCAGTCCGTCCGATGGCCGACGAAAATGCGCGTCAGTCCGTCCGATGGCCGACGGTTCTGACCGTACGGTCGATCATAATTTTTTTTTTCGATTTTTTTCATTTTCTCCCACTCTGAAAACCTTCTAACCACGATTTTAAGAGTTTTTATCGTGGAAAATCTGAAAACGGACGGAGAAAAATCGAATCAGTACGGTGACATGTGTTCTGGCCGACGAAAATGCGCGCCAGTCCGTCCGATGGCCGACGAAATGCGCGTCAGTCCGTCCGATGGCCGACGGTTCTGACCGTACGGTCGATCATAATTTTTTTTCGATTTTTTCATTTTCTCCCACTCTGAAAACCTTCTAACCACGATCTTAAGAGTTTTTATCGTGGAAATCTGAAAACGGACGGAGAAAAATCGAATCAGTACGGTGACATGTGTTCTGGCCGACGAAAATGCGCGCCAGTCCGTCCGATGGCCGACGGTTCCGACCGTACGGTCGATCAAAATTTGTTTTTCGATTTTTTTCATTTTCTCCCACTCTGAAAACCTTCTAACCACGATTTTAAGAGTTTTTATCGTGGAAAATCTGAAAACGGACGGAGAAAAATCGAATCAGTACGGTTACATGAGTTCTGGCCGACGAAAATGCGCGCCAGTCCGTCCGATGGCCGACGAAAATGCGCGCCAGTCCGTCAGATGGCCGACGAAAATGCGCGCCAGTCCGTCCGATGGCCGACTGGTTCCGACCGTACGGTCGACCAAATATTTTTTCTCGATCTTTTCATTTTCTCCCACTCTGAAAACCTTCTAACCACGATTTTGAGAGTTTTTATCGTGGAAAATCTGAAAACGGCCGGAGAAAAATCGAATCAGTACGGTGACAAGTGTTCTGGCCGACGAAAATGCGCGCCAGCCCGTCCGTCATGACAAGTGTTCTGGCCGACGAAAATGCGCGCCAGCCCGTCCGATGGCCGACGATTCCGACCGTACGGTCGACCAAAATTGTTTTTTCGATTTTTTGATTTCCACCCACTCTGACAACCTTGTAACCACGATATTACGAGGCTCGGGCAGTGGAAAATCGGGAAACGACCGACCGAAAATCGAATCCGACCGGTGAAATGCGTTTTGGCCGAGAAATCATGCACGCCAGTCCGTCCGATGGCCGACGGTTCCGACCGTACGGTCGACCAAATATTTTTTTCTCGATCTTTTCAGTTCTGGCCACTCTGGAAACCTTCCAATCACGATTTTGGCAGGTTTGAATGTGGAAACTCGAAAAATGATCGACCATTTTTCAAATCCGAACGGTCCCTTAGTTTTTCTCCGCCGAGAGAACCATGCCCGCCAGTCAACGGACGGTGGTGCACCACCGATCCCACGATCGCAACCCTTCCCATCCCGCTGTACGACCCATCCCAAGACCAGCCCATTAAGGAAAGGCATAAATCGTAATATGTCCAAAAGTGTGTTTATGAGTTGTAATTTTAAAAGCCACTTAAGGAAAGCTTGTTCTTCATCCTTCCTTCCTCCCTTCCTCCCCACGTCCTGAAATAGGATAGTGAATGGGATCTGCCGAATTTCAAAAGGCGTTAACTTTTGCTAGAGTTATCCGTTTCTGGATTTTTTTTTTTTTGATCCGCTCGATTTTTCGAGGCCTAGGGTGGGCGGCTGCGCAGCGGCCGTCGGCCTCTTTTTGCCATTCGGATTTTTATTTGTGTGTTTTTGGCCATTTTTATGTTTTAAGTGGCGATTTCATGTACCATTCTCTCATGAATTGGGGATTTGAACACATCAGTGTTCTTATATATTTCTATAGTTTCATGCCCATGTGATCAGATCTCCATATACTCGACTATTTTTATGTCCACGGATTGCTTTGTGTAACTCTTAAGTTTGAGCATCTACGTAGGTTTGTGGTTTATTACTACGTTCCTTAGTCACGCAACCCGAGTTCGACTCCACCGGTCTTGCATCCCCTTTCTTATTTTTAGCTCTTTTGTATTCTTCAACTCATTCTC